AATTTCAAGTGTTGTTGGAAAGGGTCTGAATACTTATGCCAATGTGATATTTCAGTTTTTCCTTTTTAATACATCTACAGACATTTCTAAGATTCTGTTTTCACTTTGTTATGGGGTACTGAGTGTAGATTAATGAGAAAAAAAATGAGAGGTTTATTAACATTTTGCAGGCTGCAACATAACAAAATTGAAAAAAGTGAAGGGGCTCTGAATACTTTCCGAATGCACTGAAGTGTTGTTGGAAAGGGTCTGAATACTTATGCCAATGTGATATTTCAGTTTTTCCTTTTTAATACATCTACAGACATTTCTAAGATTCTGTTTTCACTTTGTTATGGGGTACTGAGTGTAGATTAATGAGAAAAAAAATGAATTTGAACAATTGTAGTATCAGGCTGCAACATAACAAAATTGAAAAAAGTGAAGGGGCTCTGAATACTTTCCGAATGCACTGTATGTGGGGCCCAGTAGCATCTGACTCGCTGATTAACTTGAGCAGGATGCTACTTTCCCATTCGCTTTTTTAATGAAAAGAAACAACATGACATTACAGAGGGATAAATATCTAGAAAAATCCCAAGGAACATGTATATTGGGCACATTTGTTGCAGAGCATCACACTGAGCAACCATTATATTAAGGTACAAAGAGGATGAATGACTCCTTCCAGACAAACAGTATGAATATCATACAGTTCCCAGTCATTGGGGTTGGAGTCAAAAGAAAAGGGATGACTTCATTTCTTCTACCTAGAAGGCAGAGTCCAAGGCTGCTTCCTGTCTAATTGTGAAAACCTCTCTACGCGGTGCCTTTTAGAGGGAGTCTATCTTCCATAGGCTTCATCCTGGGAGTTGATGGTAACAACAATCCCATCATGAGATACCATCTTGTCATGGTGGCAGGGCTTAAGATCCTTAAGCTAAAGGTGGTGTCATAGACACAGGCAGGGCCTCCAAGCAAGGCAGGCCATATCCAAGAAAACTGGAAAACAAATCTCTATACAGGGTCACCCACCACCCAGGTCGATGAAGCCTGCATCTGATGGTATGGTTCTTGGACACCAGATGACAAGTAGGCTAACGAGGCTCAGATCCATCTGCTAGGCAACCAGGACAAGGAACTGTAAAGCAGCTGGAAATTATGAAATGCTGTCATGTGTCAAATCCATCAACTTGTGGTTTCTAGAAGCAAATGCAAAACTTTGGGAAAATAGCATTTCTGAAATCAAATTTAATTGAATAACTGAGTCTTGGGTCAGAGTTATTTCATACTCCTAAAAAGAGTTTACAAACACTGAACTTCATGAATTAGAACAACGATTTAAAAAACACTGAAAACAAGATCTGAAACTCAAAAAGTGCTACAAAGGCAGTGGAAGAGCAGGTCAATATAAACATCCATTTGAATGCAGCCACTGAAAGTTTTGAACAGCCAATTCAAAATAAGAAAATTGAACCACAATTGTCTCAGTATAAACAAATACTTAGAGAAAACATTTTGGAATGCATGAAAGAAACTGTAAGGCAAAGATTATATCCTTTGAAATCTATTTAAAATAGATAAATAAAAATTTTGCATGACCAAATATTGTTGCCCAATCAGTTAGGACAAAATTGATCAAACAGACAAATCAACTCAAGTGCAGCCCCACCAAAGTAATAATAGAACTAGGTTATAAATCGAAAACCAGGTGCCAAACCAATTCAGTAATCAAATGCCAAAGTGGAAACTTAGATTGGAAAACAAAATAAACCAATTTCAAAAAGATATTAACAACCTACAAAACCTAAAGCAAGAAAAATGAGAAAACAAAAGCAAGTCTGAAAAAGGGTACTGTGTAGACATCAAAACAATGGCAGAAGTCATGGAAGGATTAAAGAGTGGTGTCCGCTCTTCCGAGAAAATTGAGCAGGAGGATAGCTGAGAAGGCCATGCAGCTAGGCCAGAAGAGAAGCACCGAAGATGGAATAAAGGAATATAAGGCAGTGTTGTCCAAACTTGGCCACTTTAAGATGAGTGGACATGCTGGCTGGGGAATTCTGGGAGTGGAAGCCAACTAACCTTAAGGGGGC